GACAATTGCTGAACAAACGCTCTCCATGAGTCAGTGCAGTTTCCTCACCAGTAGAAGAACTGTTGACACGATCTTTGTGCTATGCCAGTTAAAGTAGAAATGCTGGGAGCACAACATTGACCTGTATGTAGCCTTCAATGATCTGACCAAGGCCTTTGACATGGTCAGCTGAGGTGGCCTCTGGAAGAGGCAAGTTCCACGAAAGCCAGAAAGGTCAAATCAAACATAGTGGCAACCTTTTGGACCCCTTCCCCATCAGAAATGGTGTGAAATGAGGCTGCATGCTGGCCCCAAACTTGATGCCTGACCAAAGGCATCACATCAGGTTCCAAACCAATGGAAGTGTCTTCCATCTCCTTCGCTTGAACCAAGATGATGAAGGAGCTGATCCTCGAGCTGCTCTTTGCTGACGACTGTGCACTTCTGGCACACACAGAGGGCACACAGTGGTTGGCCACTTCAGAAAGGCTGCTCAAGCATTGGGTCTGACCATCAGCCTACAAAAGACAGAGGTCCTTTGCTAAGATTCCCACACACAGTGTACAGCCCACCCCAGATCACCATCAACGACCACCCACTCAACTCAGTGCAGCAGTTTACCCTAATTCTGAGAAGCAATTGCACAAACTCACTTTCCCCATTTGAAGATACGAAAAAATTCTTGTTATTATTATTATTATTTATTAATGTTATTAGTGTTTAATATTATTATTTTATTTATTTAATCTTTTCTGCTGTTATCGTAATCACGTGTCCAGGCGTAAACTGATTTTGCATGTGCACTCTTGTTTCTTGCTCATTGTCGATTATTAGGAATGCACACATTTAACACCATTCTGAAAGTTTCGAACACAAAGATGCAGCTATAAAGTCGATTCTTAGTAATTCTAGGGGGAGGGAGGGGACACACCGCTGTTGGCAAATTTGGCATGCTGACTCTGTATGTTTCCTATTAGTGTTGGCTCAACCTGTGATATCGACGCTGTGAAAACAAGCAATACCGACTTGGATGATGAGGACAGCAAAATTGGCAGGAAGAAGCAAAGAAAAATTACAGTTATGACCTGGACAGGTGTAGAGCTGGAAACAGTAGGGCAGCTACCTGAGGCATTGATGACCTAAAGGTTTATCATATAGAGAACTACAATAACTCAGACACCCTACATGATGGCAGGAAATGGAGAAAAAAATTGCTGTAGAAACCAATCCCCTCGTAGCTTCATTCTGTGAGGCTATTCTTACAAGTTTAACTCTCGTACAGACCATGCAAATAAAAAAGGTGTGAGCTCAAGTTAAAAGGTAACCACAAGTACATTTTTGCACTCCCACTCCAAAATCATCATGTAAATTACTCTCTCATTGAGCGTCCCATGGCAATGGCAAGCCAAGATTCTTTAAACACAGACAAGGAAGTTTGTTTTTATACTGGATTGCTTTCCACTGAAATTCTGTTGACTGCCTTTGACCACGTTTCTTCAAGTTAGCAATTGGCACAGTCAAACTCTCAGCAAATTTCAGAAATTAGTAATGGTTCTGATGAAGCTTCAACTTATTCTGTTTCAAGATCTGGCCTACCGTTTCTGAGTATCACTACCAACAGTATCCAGGATATTTTCTTTGTGGTTGACTGTAAAGGATTCTTGTTTGTCGCCACTCATTTACCATATGCTGCCCTTTTTAGGAAAGATTTCTTTTAGTTTTTTGCTTAGTCATTAGTACTACAGTACTAAAGATGTTCACCAGTACTACAGTACTATCAGTACGTATGCTAACTGTGTCACTAGCGTACTAACTCCACTTTTTCGATGAATGAACTGCGTCGTTTGTACTAGCGTTCGATTAAAGGACTGCATGTCACTAGCGTACTAACTACACTTCTCGAACAAGCATGAATGACTTGCGTACCAACGTACTAGGGTCGATTAAAGGACTCCATGTCTCTTGTGTACCAACGTACTAGCGTACTAACATCACCTCGCAAATTATCACAAATGACTAGCGTACTAACGTACTAGCGTTCTAACAGAGGACAGCATGTCACTAGCGTACCAACGTACTAGCGTACTAACTACACTTCTCGAACAAGCATGAATGACTTGCGTACCAAGTACTAGGGTCGATTAAAGGACTGCATGTCTCTTGTGTACCAACGTACTAGCGTACTAACATCACCTCACCAATTATCACAAATGACCAGCGTACTAACGTACTAGCGTTCTATTAAAGGACTGGAACCTAGTAGACTCGATTTCTTTTTAACGCGGTATTGCGGTGAAGAACAACTCGCATTGCGGTGTGGCTCGAACCGACGGTTTTCGGTGAAATAAACCATTTCCAAGTACGTTAGTACTGTAGTACTCGGTACGGTCAACTCATCATGGCTTGTTTATTTCTTAGTACGTTAGTACTGTAGTACTCGGTACGGACAACTCACCACGTACTGTAGTACGATATCCGGTTAGATCGCTCCATGGTTAGATCGCTCCAAGTCAGATTGCTCCATACCGAAGTCAGATCGCTCCACTCAAAAGTTAGTTCGCTCCATCAAAGAAGTTACTTCGCTCCATACATAAGTTACTTCGCTCCATGTAGAAACCTAATACACTAACTTACTTCTGATCTTTATAGTTTATAGTTGATGATGTGTATTGCGTCTTGCGATCGAGTTGCTAATCGACATATTCGCTAACTTGAGGCCACCAAAGCGAATTACCAATGTTGGAACAAGTGTTTCAGTGTGTAATGAACGTAGAAAACTAATAAAAACTAACTTACTTCTGATCTAACTTACTTCTGACCTTTGCTTGCGATCAAGTTGCTGAAATATAAAGTGATCGACGATTCGTTCACTTGAACCCACCAAAGCGAATTACCAATGATGAAATAAGTGTTTCAGTGTGTAATAAATGATAAAGTTATGGTCTAAATGTGTTAAAAAGATCATTCGAATAAAATACTGGCCCGTGTGTATCCTCCATCTTTAATAAAGTAGGTTACACTTTACGAGTTCCTTACATGAGGTTTATTTCTTCGCTCTTAGGTTAAGCGCACGTGCATTCTTAATTGATTGTTAAGTAAGAAAAACACATCATCGATTTAGACATTTTCTTGTCCCATGTTAATCATAAGTTAACAGTATCGCCTTCGCCACAAACATACTTGTTTTTAAACTCATGACATTCTTATCAATAACAGCTAATTAGCGCACAGCGCCAGGTAGGTGTGATTTTTTTCCTTTTGTTATACTTGTGACTTTTTCTGAACAATAAAAGTTAATTGGTGCTACACGCAAGGAAGGTGTGATTTTTTTTACACATTGTTCTTGCTTGTAAGTGCTAAATATGTTAACAAACATCTTCGAGAACATCTTCCGACCAGCATTGAGTATCGTCGAGGAGATACTTCTACAAGAGCTGACTGATGCTCCCTGCCCGAGTCTACCCAAACCTGAATACATCACCAGGACTGCCAACCGGTTTTGCCAACGCCTGAGGCCAAAAGACCCAACAGACTTAGCCTTCGAGTTAGAGCACGACCACCTCCCGGCTGGCTTCTTCCGCGCCGATGTTCAAGTACATGGCCGTCGCCACTTGATGTTTGCCACAGAACAGCAACTACAGTACCTCGCCAGAGCAAAGAACTGGTACGTGGACGGCACCTTCAAACTCTGCAGACCTCCCTTCACCCAGCTCCTCACTGTGAACGCCTTCGTAAAACAGGATGATCACGCCAAGCAGGTGCCCCTCCTGTTCGTCGTAATGTCGGGGAAGAACAAGAAGGACTACCGAAAGGTCTTCAAACAGCTGCTCGAGATACTTCCAACAGCGCCTGCAATGAAGCGGATAACCCTCGACTTCGAGAAAGCAGTTTGGGCCGTGCTGAGAAACCTGTTTCCTGAAGGATCCAGCGCCCAAATACAGAGACCTGCAGGCAAAAATCTTCGATCTCTGGGAGCAATATGACAACAACGAGAGGTCTGCCAGACAGCTACTGAAAGCCTGTTCTTTCCTGAACGGTC